TTACATAAAAATTAATTAAACGAAATTTCAGACTTTTGAGATATACGCATTTTTTTTTTGTAAAAATCACTCCATTAATGAAATCAAATTGCCCATATAATTTATTATATTACTCTTTCAATAATGAAAATTTTACGTAGAACCTTAGATAATGATAATTTACTATTTGCCATTCAATGATGCATGAAATTGAAATAATAAAAAAAAGAAAAAAACAATGATTAATATAACTTTTATATAATATCTTTATCCTTGTTTTTCAAAATAAAACAATAAATATCTTTCTATTCTTCTTTTTATTTCTTTAATCTTAAGGTACACATTCTAATTCATCAATGAATAGAATTAAAAATCATATATGTTTATTATCTCCACAAACAAATATAACTAGTCCATTACGTACAACAAATTTTGTTCTTGATAGTAAACAACAAACAATAATACGAACAGGAAATATTTCACCAGCACATTCAGATTCATCAACTGAATCAACATCAACATGTTCGTCTGATGAACAACAATTTCATTATCATTCATATCATCAACTATCACGTTCATATCGTGAACGTGAAAATTATGAACAATTATTAGATTTAGCAGAAAAATTATCTGATCCAAATCGTTATAAAAAAGTTGATATTGAACAATTTTTTTCATATCATTATAAAACGATAATAACAACAACAACAACAAAACCAACAACAGATATATTATCATCGAAACAAACAGCTTGTGTTATTTGTATGTCACATTTTAAAAATGGACAACATATACGAGTACTTCCATGTCAACATGAATATCATTCAAAATGTATTGCACGATGGTTTACTATGAATTCATCATGTCCTATATGTCGACGAGATAATTTTTTAACGACTTGCTGATACTATAAATTTACATATTTCGTTTTCGATTTTTTTTTTCTTCTTCTCCTTCTTCTTCAACGTACAACAGTAAAAATCATTTATACGCTTATAACATTAACTATAAGTAAGAAAAAGCTCTCTGTATTTGTCTTGTCTTCCCTCTTGTGGACATTTTTTTTTTTCTTTCTGTCTGTTTTTTTTTGTTGTGTTTGTGGCTCACTTATTTTTCTTTTTCTATATATGTAAATGTATCTTTCCTAAGAAATTAATCATTATCTAAACATGCTTCTCTTAGGTCATATTTTTTTTTGTGTTTAAATGCAGTTTCTTTTTTTTTTCCTTTCCTTTTGTTTTCTATTTTGATACGTGATGTTCACATTCTTTTAACCGCAAGGAAAAGAGAGAACTCACAACTGTTCAAATATAGAAAGAAGGATGTCGACTATAGATAGCCTAGTTCCATTTCCATTGTAAGAGAAAGAGAGAACAAGAGAGAAAGAGGGAGAGAAAAAAAAATTTCCTACGGACAGAACGAAAGAATAAACTGAATAATTAAAAGAAAAAAAGACACGTCTATAGCATCTTTCTCGGTCGTGTTCCCTTTTTTTCTCTCTCTCTTCTCCTTGATTTTTTTTTCTCTCGCATTCGCTCGTTTAGAACGAACAAGCGTCTATTCTTCGTGTTTAGAGAAGGCATACAATACACATGCAATTGTCGTGATGAAGTGGATCTGCTTATTTTTTTTTTTTTTGTTGTTGTTTGTAAAGAGTGAACACACACATATATATTTTCAAAATGGCTGCTATCATTGGTTTTCACTTTTTTGTTTTTTTATAGATAATGATGATGACATTAAAAGAAAATCTAGCTAATTCAATGTCTCAACCTATTGGTAAGTTTTGAACAAAACAAAAAAAACAAAAAAACAAAGTTTAAATTTATGATTTAGATTATAATATGAATGGAAATAATCATTTACATTCAACAACAATAGGTTATGATTATCATCAATCTCATAATTCTTGGGAAAAGCCGATACATCCAACATTTGATTATCAACAAACTCCGTATTCATTTCGAACAATGTCTTCCACCGGTGGTATACCATCTATAGAAACAACGAATAAATTAAATAATTCATATCCATCTTTTGATTTAACATCAAGTCTTAATAATTCAACACAAAATTTTTATAGACGTCATAGTATAATAAATAAATAAAAAAAAAAATTTCATTTAAAATTTTATTTATTTATTTTTTCAATTTAGCTGAATCAACTTTACCAATGTCGAATTCAATTTTTTCAACGAATCATTCATCATCACATCCGTTTAATAATTATTCACATGCAACAACAACACATTATCATCCATCAGAACTTTTTTTTGGTTGGAATAATGGACCATCATTAATGCGTACACATAGTAGTGCTTCATATCAAGATTATTCACCATCAAGTAATTTTTATAAAAGAAATTTTTTTTTTTTGTTTTATCAAGATATTTTTACGAAAAATTCGAATATATATATATACGGTCAGTTAGACCTTTTTCATTTTATGTTAGTACAGAAAAAAACTATTTTTTTTATTTCATATCATAGACGAAGCACGTTATGAGTAGATGATTATCATTTACTGTAATGAAATATTCTATATGACAATTGATGCTGTTGATAAGAGTATTCGTATATATATATATATATATATATATATATGGTTTCATGTCTAAGAATACAGATTATACATTTCAATATATGTTCACTGATTCCTTAATAATAATCTAATTTTAAAGAATATTTCGAAACAATATAATAATCAGTTAATCAATTTTCTACAAAAATATCCAATAGAAAAATTTAATTTTAGCTTATTATTGCGAACAATACTGGCCCAAAGTAGTTAACATTCGAAGGGGAGGAGCTGTCGTGATTCTTTTTTTTTTTTTTTGAAAAGAGAAAATATCTTTCTTCTTATAGAATACAAAAAGAGAATTTGAGCTCGGCTGGGAGAAAATAAAAATTTCCCACGATTGGCGGGATATTACATCCTCGCGGTCGAGCCACTAATGACTGCGGAGTGATTGCATTTTTACGGTTATTTTTTCAATTAATGCCGTGATGGAAATACCAGAAAAATTGATTTTCGATTTGAAATTTTGTATTTAATGAGAATAGTCTTTTGATTTCTTGAAATAGGAATATCAAATCTGCCGATTTATAGACACACTATTATCATAGTTGTATCTTCGGATAGGAACAGTCAAAAGATCTGAAACTTTCACAAAGGTCTACCTCTATGCAAAGTTTCAAGTCACAAGTCAATTTTTTCTCGTATTCCGGAGGAAGACTATTGCATTCATTTTAAAAAAATACCGTACAAGTGCACTATCTCTGCAGTAATAAACTAAAGAGCACGAACTTTTTTCAAGGTATTCATAGCATATTTGGGTCTACATCAGTGTTCTATCTAGATTTTCTTTTTCGGAAGAATACCGCCCTTACTCTAGATAAAACACTTGTCTACAGAAGGCATATAGCCTCAACTCAAAAACCGATTTATCAGTTGGAAGACTTTCCCTTGTAAGACTATATGTTCATTAGATCATATCATACTTCGATATTATTTATCGAAGTATACGTAATCAATCCTAGTTAATTTAAACTATCAAGAAAAAATATAAAGAATAACAATTCAATCGATATTTTTGTTACTATTTCAGCTCCATATCCATGTTATAATCCAATCGATTTATCTACTTCTCAATCAGCAATAAATAATAAATTAACGGATAGTCTATCATCAAATCGAACACAAACAGAATCAATAAATACACTTCGGACAACAAATTATTCATCATTTTATAATACAATTCCACCAATAAATATCCCTTTAATATCAACACAATCTTCAACAATATCATCGAATTCTATATCACATCAAAAATATTCTAATCCGTCCACGAAAAAACGTCCACGTTTAACGGCTCAACTTCGTAATGAAATTCTTAAACTTAAAGCTAATCAACCAACAGTATTTGTTTGGGAAATTCAGCAAATTTTATTACAAAATGGTATTTGTACTGCTCAAACATTACCAAGTGTAAGTTAATGAAAAATAATAAAATTAAAATTTTTTATTTTTTTTTCATCATTAGGCTAAAGTTATTCAACGAGTACTTAATGAATCGAAAAAATCTGTACGTATTATAAAAGAAGAACCAAAATCAAATGTTAATTTAGTCATGGAAACAATATTTAATAATACTGAAAATAAAAAAACTTCACCAATAACAATATGTTTATCACCATCATCAACATTATCTGATGGTGAATCAGCATCAGAATGTTCAATATGTCTTGAAACATATCGTAGTGGTCAAGAAGTTAGTATATTATCATGTTCACATGAATATCATTCATCATGTATTAAAGAATGGATGATGAAAAATCGTTCATGTCCAATGTGTAGAAAAGATATACATAATCAACCTCAATTTGTTACTTTACTTATATGATATATTAATGATTCTATTTTGTGGTTTTTTTTTTACTTGACTTTTGTTTTTTGTAAATACGAATTTATGAATATGTCTATGGAAAGAATATGGAATTCTATTGAGCCAATATTTGTTGTATGAGAAATACGAGTTTCTTGTTTTGATAATTTTGTGATTTGAAAATTTGTATGGATATATATACATATATATGGGATGTTCTGCTTGTTTGTTTCTTTTCATATCATAATAAAAAAAAAACGGAATGAAAGAGAATGTATGTATCAAAATAAAAAACAAGTATTTGATTTAAATTTAATTATTAAAATTACACATGACAGTTTCTCTATATGCCTTTAGAAGACAGACGTAAAAAAACAAGCGAATCTATGCTTTTTTAAGGTTCTACTTCAATTTATGAAGTAACTAGGCGAAATGAATGATTTAAATGAGTAAAAAAAACATAAAATGAAATCAACCTTTTTGGTATCGATCAAGGTCAACACTTGAAGTTTGTTGTTTTTGAAAAGATCAATTTTCTATAGCATATGCATGTCCATGATAAACAGAAATGAAAAATGTGCTACTAAAATAAACAGATTCCTCAAGCATAAGTAAATTCTTCAAAAAAAAATTCCCTCTATTATCAAGATAATGGTAAAGCCAAATTCACTTTTTCCATTGCACATTTGAACAAAGCAAAAGAGAAATCAAATTATTTTAAAATCATCAACTGATTGAAGCACTTTTCATTCAAAACAAAAAATTCTATTAATAAATTACCGAAACTTATGCTCATATTGTTACCAAAGAAAAATATTTCTTTAGTCGAATTTTCAAATGAAAAAATTTCTACTACATATCAAAGTGATCATTTGTTTTTAATTTATTGTGTAATTCATCTATGTTAAACTATAGATTAAAAATATTTTATGAATTTTTTTATCTAAGGATATTGACGAAGGAATATTCTTCAATCAACTCGTTTTGAATAATAAAAAGTAAGTTCTATTAATATAATTAATTTCAACTTGACAAAAAAAAAACAATTCTTTTTATTAGATTATTGAAAAACTTCGAATGTAAATTATTTTATCACAAAAATGTAAATTGATCGGCGACTGAGATGCTGCTACCGTCGTTGTCAATTAATGTATCGGCTTACAATCATATAAATGACTTTGAATAAATTTAAACTCAGGAATCCTTTACATAAATATTTAATTGCATTTTTTTTTCTTTTACTCTATTAGAGATATATCTAATCAAATAAATGAATGTCGATCAAATATGTAAAGAAGAACGTATTCTTAAAAATGCTGTAGAGAAATTTAAAATGAGTTGAAGACATACAAGATCAATGTCAAAAATTGTAATATACCATTAATTTCATGTTTGTGTAAAGTTTATATCTTTACTACATATGAACTTATTTTTATTCTTTGTCTATAAAGTTATTTATTGATAATTGCATTTAAAAAAATTAAACAATATCGAACTTCATATAAAGCCTTGTAGTTGTATAAAATATTCTTTTTTCAGTTTACCCAGATAAGATTCGAAGAGACTTTGTTCAAAATGTCTGAACTTTTTCATGGAAGTTAATCTAGTTGACTTCTTTATCTCTGCAAAATTCGAAAATACGAGTTCTCCGAAAATTTCAAGTCTCTAGAAAATACACACATTTAAAAATTCGGTAGCTTGGTTAAATCAGCATAGAAATCCAAATCTTATCAAGGTTTTTATTAGAACACTATATAGTATCTATAATCAAAAACTCATTGAAATTGGAAGGTTAGTGCTGAAGAGGTTGTTCTGTAAATGAGTTCCACAAATATACTACGTAGGTATTATCAGCCATGAAATGATCCCGGACAAGTTACCAACATCTTTTTGTCTCGGATTACTCGTCCGATAGCACGATGGGTAAGTTGTGATATATGCCTGATCCTGTATCTAGTATGTATGAGGAGTTCAAGCAGTTGAGCGCAAGAAGTCTGAGTCAAGTTGGTCTTCCGTTCAGAGTTACTTCTAGTATTAATTGTACAGAAGATATAAGCCTATTGAGCCTGCCGCTAGATACCATCCGATACTGAAAGGCAAAGGTATTATTCTTCCTTAAACAAATGCTAATTCCAACATCTGTATTGTTAAATTTGGGCGAAGCCATTTCACTGCGAAGTTGTCGATTGGCTCAAAATGACCCATTTGCCTTGAATGACATAGAAATTAGTTTTATTCTTAATTTGCTTTATTTCACAGTTATGGTGTTATTTTATTTGTATAACGCTAGATACCTACTTACCGTGGATTATTTTTTTGAAAAATGACTGATTTAGGGGAATGATATATGATTAGACACTAGCAAATGCGATTATTTGCAGATTAAAATCATGTTCTTCATTTTCAGGATCGTACCGATATAGTTTGTCTTCATTTTCTTTGTATAATATGAAACCATTGGTTCTGATTTCGATTCGAAATCATCAAGCATTCCTATATTTATAGTTTCATCCTGAAGGAAAGTCGTAGATTAGTTCTAATAAAGCTTTTAGCATGAAACTCATGTAAGTTTATTTAAAAAACACAATAACTCTGAAAAAAAACCATTTTTCATGTTTCTCTCTTTCTACAAATAGGTCAAAAATGGCCCAAGAATGTTCATAAAGTTAATAAAGAAATTAACTCAAATTAAAATGAAAAGATTGAATTTCTTTTCCACATGACTGATATTTCGTTTTTCTATTAATTGATAATATGTAGAAATTATATCGTTATAAATAAATCATCAAGTATTATATTCTATTTTCTTTGTTTCGTTTATTGCAACTATCAAATTTTCTCATTTGATATAGTTATGAAAATAATTATCATTTAAATAGAATAAAGAAGAGGTGTATATTAAAAAAAAACCTGACATAATATTTTTACATTTACCTATTAAAATACTTTCTTTATTCTTAATAATCAATACTATTTTTAATTATAATGAAAATTACGAACTATATTTATTTCTATCCTATCGTTACAAACTATAGATGAATTAAAAAAAAAGATGCATTGTAGTGGAATAATAGATACTCAAAAAAAGAAAAGAAAAACTATTTTTTTTGATTTATTTATCAGGTCATTAAGTTCTTTATTTTTATATAGAGAGATAATAATTCAGAACTCTTTTCATATACTTGAGGACTTCAGGTTTTTTTCGATTATATTCAAGCGTATTATGACTTATCTTTTTATTTTAAAAGATTTTTTGCTTTTTTAGAAAACCAAAATAATTTTAAAGATTTAGAAAGAGATATTATATGTGTGTTTGAAAGTTCAGAAATAATTTCGATGCTAATTTTTAAAAAATTTTCAGTTCTAACTTCTGAAATATACAAATTAAAGTTGTGATTTTTTCGAGCAATGTGTTATATTAATGAAGAAATTTCTATTATATCTAGGACATTGTGTCTTCAAGGAGGGTAAAGGAATTTCGTAACGTTAACAAAAATTATGTTATCTATTTTAATGATATTCTATTGAGATACTAGTTTATTGATAACTTATTTCATGTATAGAAATTTCTACCTTTCTTTTTTACAGTAAATAGATATTTCCGGTTTTTTTTTATCTTTCTAATTGAATCGATTACAATGAATGCTTTCTTTGCTTTTAGATCAAAGGGAAAATATTTGTTAAAAATTACTTAAACTGATTTTATGAAAGAATTGTTCTTATAGAATATTTTTTAGAGAAAAATTTTATTTAAAATTAATTTAGACACAAAAAACAAATGAGACAAATGAAAAGTGTAGAAGGAAAATAGTTTTTTGATTTCAATTGACAAATTATTAGAAGAAGTTTCATATTAGTTAATAAATAATGCTTGAATTTAAATATAAAACAATAATTTTATTATTTTACAGACTATTATGAGCAAATGTAAAAGTTTTTTTTTTCTCAATTCACTTCAATGATTTAATATTATCTTTTTTGCTTTTCTTTCTTTGTTATGTATGCCTCAAATATATAAAATAAATGCTTAATGTATATCAAATTTCTTATAAAAATGTGCTTAAATAATATCGACCATGCGAAAATAATGGTAGTATTTTTTTTATTATATAAAGTTCAATAGAAAAAGAAGATACCGGAAAGACTAATGGATGAAAATGGATATAATGTTTTATCTCATTCTTTTTTTTCTTTTATTATTTAACCAGCTGTCATACGACTAACATACTAGTCTTATCTTTACTACAATATCAATAGTTCAGGTAAGTCGAGTGCAATAGCCTAAAGCTAAATCTATCAAAAAAGTAAAGATGAAAATAATTGTCTTCTTCCGCTCATTTCGTCAATCATCTACAACAAGCTATACTCAATTGAAATTTCTTTTTCTTTTTTTTATAAGCCTTACAATTCGATTTTTTTTTGTCTCTGTCTTTCTGATTGTGCGACCAATTGTATTGTCATCAATCGGATCAGATCATGTTCGTTTCAATGAACACAGTATATAACGAGAAAATGAATGACATTTGAATTCTGATTTGATTCTTGAGACTTTTTTTTTTCTATTAATAGTCGAACATCTTCTTTTTGTTGTTGTTTTTTTTCGATATATTAAAATAAATCAAAGACAAAGAAAAAAAAATGAATCAATGTTTTCTTTATCATACTAAATCAATCAGATCTTTAATTGAAGACATGTATGGCAAGCGTTCGTATATACATATTGTCGGTTCTTATTTTATCATTAATGTTTAACACTGATTGTGATCTTCTTTTTTTTCTTTTTGTCCTATTGAAGATTGTGCGCGTACTTTTTTGTCGTCGCTCAATAATGATAAGTTCTTTGTAATTAGCTACACATATACATACACGCACTATCTTCTTCTTCTTCTTCCTATTGATAGACATAGGACAGACATGCAGAGACCCTAAAGGAATGCAATACTAATTTAACTTTGATCATTTTAGCGGAATAACTGACGGTGACAGCGACAAGCAAGAGCAAAAGCAAATTACATTGC